AAAATATAAAATATTAACGCAATTTTAAGATTGCAGCGCAATTATACGATCGTTTAAACGCGTGGCGCAATGATTGCCGCATAATTGGTAGCTTTTAAGCACAAGGGGACTATCCCGAAAAAATGCTGTTTTGAGAAAATCGAGGGTAAAGTTTTTGCCTCTTGGTCAGTTTGTTTAAGATACAGAGAGGGTTTTCTCGAGAACCGAACAAATAAAAAGTATACCCACCAATGAAACCAAACTTCTCCTATAGATAGAGCAATGCCCACTTTTGGTGTAGGTCAAGATTTCTGGAACCACCCGAAATCTGGGTTAACCCGCTTGTCCTTAAAAGCGACTAATATACGATCGTTAAAACGGGCAGAACATATAGTGTGTCACGACGTGGTGGAAACAGGCGCTCGTCAATTTTTGGGCATATGGCGTTATTGATATCACCTTAAAGCCTGTTCATTTGCCTTTCTTTTGGTGAAAAATAATACCCATCTACGTTGAATAGAAGTCAAAATATTTGCGACTGAAAGAGGTCAGGGACCCTTGGTTTTAGAGGTAAAATTATCGAGAAAATGGCCTCCAAAGTTTGGTAACTTCCATAGCCTGAGAGTCCTTTGGCACTGAAAATTTACATTTTTTATACCTTTAATTGACATTTTTCGGGACAATCCACATAGAAATTTAAATAAATACTGGACATGGAAGGTGTAGAGCCAAAAAAAAAAGCATTTTCGATAAAAATTTTCAAACCAGCGGAAAAATGTCAATTTCTTCACTTTGATAATATTGCCATGCGCCTGATTCCAGCACGCTGCCTCACATTTATATTATAGGTTCTATTTTCCCGCGCTTCCCACTCAGGTTCTGTGGCACAAGACAACTGTGGATGGGACCGCTTTGTGGACATGTCCCAAGTCTCCAACTTTACACTTGTCAGCCCAAACATTTCCGGCATCAACCACAGGTTAGTTCTACCCCCCCCCTCCCCCTGTACATTGCATTTTGATCCGTTTCTTTGTTTTTTTAGTTTTAGTAGAGGGTTTTACGGCGCTCGCAACTGCATAAGGTCATATGAGCGCAAGATCCGTTTCTTCATTTAAACAAAATTTCTTTTGTATTGATTTCCTTCCCTCTTTGTTTTTCTTACAACTGTTTTGCGTTGTTCGAAAACTCGTTATAAATACTAATTTGACAAATTGATAGTGCCTGTGTGTTTGGGGTGAAGGTGGGGGCGTTTTGGGAGGAGGGGTTACAACGTTATCTGTGTGTGGGGGTGAGGAGGTGGGGCATTGACTGTAGCTTCCTTCTAGAAAGAACGAGAGAGAGAGAGAGAGAGAGAGAGAGA